GTATGATCCCTCCATGAGAGGTCATAAACACAACCAGATGGCACAAAACTCATGGAAGGAAACAGCAACGGCTTTAAAGAAAGATGAGTTAATGTGTCGGACAACATGGGAAAATATTTGCGACCTGTTTGTGATCCTGGAGGAAACAAACCAGTGTGGTTCAGTTCGTGAAGCACAGAGAAACAGATGATATAAAAAACAGGTAAATATTGTWACTTTATGTGTGACGTCAAGCGTTTCTTCTTCTACACTCTTCCTGACTACTTTTCAACTGCTTTGGCACCGTGCTGCCGTCTGTCGGTGATGGAAGAACAGTGATAACATAAACGTTATGTTTTCACACAGCGCACGGCTCAGGAGCACGTGCACTCCGTGGAGCTTGTGCAACAACCTAAAGCACGACTATAACCCAGCCTTAATATGAGGTTCTTCTTCCATGAAGCAGCTCTGTTGTCCTCCATCCTCCTGTTGAAGCTGGCAGAGTTTTAAAAACCACCTGTCAGAGAAGATAAACCTGCAGAATGATGTCACTGATTCCTCCACCTGAGACAGAGAGAGGAYGATGGTAGCTTTAGCTAAYGTTAGCTGGACAGGGTCTGACAGGTGGAGCACAGGTGAAGGGAGGAGCAGCATTACTCATTATTTCTGTTGCACTTTATTTATACAGACACAATGTAAAACATTTCATTAACTTTTAAAAAGGAGACATGCATAACACCAGGTTATATTTAAACATGCTAATATCCACCTGCAGTCCCAGGTTGATGTAATCCAGATTTAACAGATTATGATATGGTGCAGCCTGCAGTTTTGAAGTGTGGGTCCACACTCAGTGTAAACAAAGCCAAAGCTTGGGTCATGTGATTGACCTACATTAGGCTGGCTGTAGGTAAACAAATATGGTGGATTTCCACGTGTACATCTRAGGAGAAGACCTTCAAATGGAGTCAGTCTGATGCTTCACTCAGAGGAGAAGCAACAAGTCAGACAAGTGTGAGCTGCASAGGTTGTTCCAGGTGGTGATGGGCTCAGACACTGCTGACCATGATGATGATGATGCTGTGTGATGAAGGTCTGTAATGAAGATAAACACAAGGCTCACTGTTCACAGAGTTGTTTAAGGCAGAGGTTCTTAACC